CACGGGGGAGGGATGGAAAGCAGAGAATGTAAATTAAAGGGTCCCTCTTGGCCAACAAAGAAACATCCCCACTGCTGCTTTTCCTCTCTTTCCTCCAATATTCAAGTTGCCCCCTCCCTGCCTCCTCAGGTCTCCCAACACATATGCTTATCACCCTCTGGACTTGTACTGCCTCCTCTCTCCCTACCCCTGAGTTTTCCCTGCCTTTAGAAAAGCACTTATAGTGTATCCACCTTGAGATGTAGTGTAACCATCCCCAGAGATAACTCTATGCAGAAGTAGCCTCACTCCCTGATTTCCCTCAGCTGCAATGCCTTACTTCCTTAGACTAATACTAATAGCTCTCTTGGATCCAGGAAAGTGGGTTATTGCTGTGTGGAGCCTTCCAGGCCAATCGATAGTGATTTTACATGTGGGTCAGAAGGGAAACTCCTTTGTCCAACTCACTCGTATAATTGTATAGTTCCTGTTCACTTCGTTGACTCCAACTTTGCGAGGATCTGCTCTCTCCTCTATTTAAGCAGTCTCTCCACCCACACAGATTTCTATACCCACCCTAGTGCCTGAATAGTTCACTTCAATTGTGAGTTGTACAGCTGAAAAGAAAATCCTTCCCAGTGGCCCATCATGAAGGGTCCTTCTGTGTTTAGCAAAGCTGCTCCTCCAGCGGCAGGACACAGGGCACCACTAGGCTCTTCCCCAAAGGTGATCCAGTTTGGTAAGTCCCACCAGACCTTATGTTCTGTTGTCACAACCTTTAAAAACCTGGAATTGTCCCCATACCATGAGGATGCCACCCACAGGCAGAGGACTTTAGTAGGGGAAGGCACAATCCTAGGACTGCAGGAGTCAGACCTGGAATAGGTCTTAGAGAAAACAAGAAATCACAGGAGCTGGACTGGAATCCCAGCTATGGTCCTTACTCTCTGGATGATTTGGGCAAATCATTCCACCTGTCAGCCTCAGTTTCCTCATCTGTAAAATGAAAGGGTTGGGCCAGCAAAACTGAAATATCTTCCCGAACTTTATCTACGAGCCTATGAATTCAAACTCCCTTATTTTACAGATGAGAAACAGGATCGTAGAGAGGTGACGTGCCGGTAAGATGGATCGCCTTTGCACATGACTGGAATCCACTCCCTATTTCTCTGCCACACAGGTTTCCCAGTTTCCTTCAAAGCCCATCTTAGCTTCCTTCTTCCTCATAAGACCTTTTGCAATCACACTGGTTGCTTTCACTTTCCCTCTTGAGTTAACTTTGTAACACTTGCTGTATTTACTGATTTTCACACCTGTTGTATCTTCCCAGTAGAATATAAGCTCCTTGAGGGCAAAAATAGTCTTTGCATCTCTAGCATCTGTCACTGGCCCGGCACAAAGTAAATGCTTATTTATCTGAATTGAATTGAAATTAATCTGGTCTTTTGACACCAAATCCCCTTTCTCTGACACAAAGCTGTCTTCCCAATCTAAGAATGTCTCTTGAGACCAATAAAAATAGAGGGGTCGGGGTAGAGGAGAGAGTTAGAGATGAGAGGCACACAGAGAGATAGACTTTGCAGATACAGACAAAAGAATAGAGTACGGCCCAGGAGTCAGGGTGCCTAGCTTCTATTTTCAGCTGTATGAGAATGTCACTGTTTCTTTTTGGGGGAGTCACAGGCCCCGTCTGAAATCCCAGTCACTATTAAATAGTTAAATATTTGTGAAAAATCTTCAGATGGTTGCATTCAATCAACAGGTGTTTATTAAATGTCTACTATGTGCCTGACACCATGCTTGGTGCCCAACATACAAAGACAAATAATGAAACATTCAAAGGTCTTTTTAAATCTGAGGTTTCTTCATCTTTCAGCTGTTATGAAACATCATAGTTGATACAGTGGAAATGTGAAAAACATAGATAGGTTTCATTAGCTTTCCAGAGGCTGGGAAGATTATGGGGGAGAGGGGAACACAGAAAAATCAGCCAGTGAAGAACAGGGACATTAAACCTCTGATGTCTAAATATAAGGAAGTTGGATCATGGAGTTCTGTGCTGATAGGAGGGGTGCATGGAGAAAAGGGAATGGGAATCATGCGCTGAAAAATCACAAAATCTTTGAGGACTCCTGAAGCACAGAGAGAGAGAAAGAGACAGAGACAGAGAAAGAGTGATACCATCAAGAAAGTAAAAATATGGATGCTCTGCTCTGCTCAAGAAGCCCCACTAGCTTCCAATCACCTCTAGGAGAAACATATGCTATTGTGTTTGCCTTTTCAAACCCTCCATAACCTGCCTTTCCAAATTTATTCCATATTACTCCTCTTCAAACACTCTGCAGTCCTGTCCCCTACCCCATCCCCAACTGTTCCTTAAACATTCCATTCCATTTCCCCTCAAAGACACAGGCCTTTGCAAAGGCTGATTCCCATGCCTGGAATGCATTAGCTCCTCATTGCCACCATTTAGAACCCCTAGTTTTCTTCAAAGCTCGGCTTGAAAGCTTCCTCCGACAGGTAGCCTTTCATGATTCCCTCCATTCCTGCCAATGTCTACCCCTGAAATGTCCTTGTTTCCATTCTGTATATATTTTGTGGGTCTTCTCATAGGTGCACAACTTGTCCCACACATAGAATGCTAATCTCTTGAGGACAAGGACTGTTTTGTTTTTGTCTTTGCATTTAAGCAGGTGCTTAATAAATACTTGCAGATGGATTGCTATGTGACATTGGGCAAAGCCACTTCCTCTCTCTGGGCCTCAGTTTCCTTTTCTGTAAAATAAGGGTTCAGCAGGGACAATCCTTTACAACTTTATAATGTTATGACTCCGTGAGTGCTGAGGGCACACAGATCCAGGGCAGTCTTTTACAGGAGGGGAAGGTAATAGATCAGTAAATGTTTGTGGACTTGACTTGATTTTCCCAACCTGCTTGGAGGAAATGCATAGCATCATAGATCTAGAGCAGAAAAGGACCCAATAGATCCCTAATCCAATCCTCTAATTTTATAGTTGGGGAATCTAAGAGCAAGATGAAGTGATTTGTCCATGGTCACACAGACATTATCAGAGATGGGATTTGAACCCAGGTCCTCTGATTAGCAAAAGAAATGGCAAACCATTCCAGTATTCTTGCCAAGAAAACCCCCAACAGGGTCACAAAGAGTCAGACACAGCTGAAAAAAATGACTGAACAACCTCAGATTCCAGTCCTCATCCCATGGTATCCCACTGCCTCACTTTGCCTCACATTATCCAACCCTGAGAAGACATTGGCCACTAGACTTGGATAAGGTTAACCAGGTCAAAGGCTTTGAAGCTACAATGTGCCTTACAAGTCATCTTACCAATGAGGAAATGGAGGCTGAAAGACGGAGTCTTCCCATGGCTACACAGCTGGAAAGCTGGGATTCAAACCCAGATGTCTCCAAATCCAGGGCTCTTCCCATTGCTATCACCTGCCTCCCAAAGGAGAGCCACCCACAGCAGCTCAGGGAAGAAGGGGCCGCAACACCTGACACTCACGTGGCTTTTCAGATTTCTTTTCTAACTTTCATGTTGGGCCAGGAATTGTCTCCCTGCCTCCCACCCCATTTTCCAAATGGGGAAACCTTGCTCAAAGTCATATAATTACCAGCAGAGCTAGACCTCAAACTCTGGCTTCCCAATGGTCAGTCAAACATTCTTTCTTTACTCTCAGCCTCAGTTATTGCCTAAGATTCTAGTGGTGAGGATGAGCACAAGAGGAGGGACAGAATCCAGGGAGGCAGCAAGATACCCTGGAAACATTAGTGGATTTGGATCTGGGTTGGCATCTTAGTTTCACCACTTCTTTTATTATTATTATTTTTTTTTTTTTTTGGTGAGGCAATTGGGATTAAGTGACTTTCGCAGAGTCACACACAGCTCCACTTCTTAACTATGTGATGTTGGGCAAGTCCCTTCCCTTCCTTGGGCCTCAGTTTCCTCCTCTGTAAAATGAGGGGTTTGGACCAGATAACCTCTAAAGGCCTTTCTGGCTCTAAACCTAAGGTCATGTGATACAGAAGTTGGACTTCTAAGTTTCCTTTCAGCTCTAAACGCATGCCTCCCTGAACAGGGGGAGTCTGGAGGAGGATGGGAGAAATAGATGGAGTGAGCCGGCCAGTTCAGGCTGGGTGGCTCTTGAATCACTCCATCCTCTCCAAGCTGAAGGGTGCCTAGAAAGACCTGGCCAAAGTGACTCGGAGCCCCTTCCCAGGAGGCACGTTCTTTGTCCATGTGCTCTGCATAGCTGGGTCTGACATCTGAGACTGGAGTGTTTGCGCTGCAGGAGGAAGAGGAAGAGGAGGAAGGCAGCGACCGCTTCTCCGAAGGAGAGTGGGAGACGTGTGTGTGTGTGTGTGTGTGTGTGTGTGTGTGTGTGTGTGTGTGTGTGTGTGTGTGTGTGTATGTCTTGGGGGGGGGAGCGCCTCTTCTTTCTCACAGGGTCAGCAGTTTTCTCAGCATCTGGAAGGCGGGCGGTAACCAGCGACTTTGCGCCCTTTCTTGGGGGCAGCCGCGGCCGGGGTCTTTGCTGTCTAGACTCCGGAGGGTTTTCCGGCACTCTCTGGGAACAGGTGGTCCCATCGCAGGCTCTCTGCAGACGCCGGGTCCAGTCTGCATCCTGCCGGTCGCCTGGACGAGCCAGCCGCCTGCCTCCCTATCCTCACCTGTGCGGGGCAGGGAGGGCAGCCTTTGAGAGTCCCAGTCACGGTGCCTGCACTGAGGGGCCGAGGAGCCGCCCATGCCACATCCCAGGGCCCAGGGCCCCCCCCCGCCCCCGCCACCAACCACAGCCACACGCCTGTGCACGAGGAGCTAGCTGACTGCGGCTGGCCCGGAGGCCTGGGGATGTGCCTGCGGGGGAAGGTGGGAGGGGGAGGGGCCGAGCTCCCAGCCCCGGCCGCTGATTGGCGGAGACCGGTGCTAGGGGGTGTGGTGCTGGGGCCTGGGGAGGGGAGGCGGGCCAGCCGGCTATAGAGACTGCAGTGCCAGGAGGATCGGCGGCAGCCGAGATTCAGCCGTCCGGCAGAGAGCTGGGGGCGGCTGAACCGAGCGAACGGACCAACGGAGAGATAGACAGGGAGTTCAGAGGCAGCGGCGCGAGTCTCAGGGGGCAGAGCCCTGGTGGAGCCCCTTCCAAAACGCGTCCCCCCAGCTAAACCCCCGGGAGACAATTCAGCCTCCCCGAAGCGAAGAGTTAGTGACAGAGACAGCCGGCAAAGTTCCCGCGGTGACTTTGGGGGCTGGGAGGAAGGGTCCAGAAAGGGGGTGAAAAGAAGCAGAAGAAGACTGAGACCCAATCCGGAGAGAGCTTGGAGCGGGAAAGCCCCCCAGGTGACCCTCCATCCTCTAGAGGCCTCTAGGAAAGCCTCTCCCACTCCCCAGCGGTTCCTGACACTCGCTCCCAGGTGGCCAGTCCTCCAGGACGACCGCAGCTCTCTACAGTGCTTCGGACAGAGCCGGAGGCCAGCCAAAGGGCGGGGAGGAAGGAGCCCGAGTGGGGCTACCGCGGGGTCTCTGTGTTCCCAACCGGTCAACCCAGACGGCGGGCGCAGAGGACTCTAGCCTCCCCTTCACCTGGACAGAGGTGAAGGAGGGAAGCAGGCAGCTAGGAAAGCCAGGACGGTGCCAACGTTGGGAACTTTCTAAGAGAAGGTGGGGGGGGCGGGAACAGGCCAAGGAGATCCACCCATATGAAAAGGGGAGAACTGAGTGAGCTGAGGGCAAAACTGTTTGCCAGGGCGTATGTTTTAGCTCCCCTGCATTTTGCAACCCCCGACACCTGCCTTCGGTAAGCACGCATTGCTCTTCGCCTCCCCCCACCCCCCATTCGGCTACAGCAGAGCCAGAGCAGACACACCCCCCACCTCCACTCCCCACCTCACCCTACCTTCCAGTCCCTGGCTGCCGGCTTTATTCTCTCTGCCTGTTTGTGGAAGAAGGCGATTTGGGGAGGCTTCTCTGAGCTGCGCCTTGGAGTCGTCCTGAGGCCAGCGGCGCCCTCAGAGCGCTCTCCCATGGGGTTCAAGTCTTCGGAGCCTTCTCACCTATCTCAGCCCATCCAGGCTAGCCCAGCCGCGGAGGGACCGGGGGGCCAGTGACTTGGAACAAGTACGAGAGCAGAGATCGCCCGTCACCCCGCAGCCTTCAACAGGCTTCAGGACAAACCATTGTGGCTGCATCAGGGGGTCGGGACTGCCCCCTCCACACCCAGGTAAGAGAGAGGGCTATAGACACAGTGCAAGGCAACAGGACGGAAAGGGGCCGTCTCCTCTAGAGATACAGTATAATAAATTTGGAGTCAAAAGGAAGCTTAGAGATCTTTGATCGTACCCCTCTCCTGTTTTACAGATAAGGAAACTGAGGTCCAGGGACGCTGAATTTTCCCAGAGTCACCCAGCTCATATCTGCAGAGGAATCTGAACCCAGGGCTTCCTGACTAGTCCAGGGCCCTTTCAATGCATTGTACTACATTGCCTCTCCTTCTGAGGACGAAATTAGCAAGTGGGTGGGGGCGAGAGAACTGAATCCCTAAGGCTTTCTGTCCTGTCCTTGGTTTATTGCACCGACGAGGGACAAGGGTGGAAACGGGCATATATCAGACAAGGGGGAAACCCTTGGCTTGATAACCGGTGTCGAAAGGTTGAAAAAACTGTCTGCAGGGGAGGAAAAGGAAGAACCAGGACACTGCTCGGAATGCAAAGGCTCTCTCTCTCTCTCGCTCGCTCTCTCTCTCTCTCTCTCTCTCTCTCTCTCTCTCTCTCTCTCTCTCTCTCTCTCTCTCTCTCTCGTTTTTTGTTGTTATTTTTAATTTACTTTCCTTCTCAAGGGACCATCAAGGAGAGGAGGGAGAGTCAGTTTCTTCTTTTGTAAAATGAAGGTACCTCTGAGGTTCCTTCTAGCTCTGATCCTAAGATCCTTGGGTAAATCCCAATCCCTCTGGGTCTCAGTTTCCTCCTCTGTAAAAGGAAGGGATTGGACTTCACGACCTCTTAGGTTCCTTGTATTTCTAGATCTATAATCCTGTGTCCCTCTAGGACCTGTGTGGGGCTGCGGTACTGGACTGGGCTTGGCTCTGTGAGGGGATTCCTATTGGGACCTTGCTTAACAAAAACTCTCCTTCCTATCACTCTTTAAGGTCTGCAGTGCTCTTTCCTCATAGCAACTGTGGGGTATGTGTGTTGGGGGGGGAGAGGGTTATTATCCCTATTTAACAGATGGGGAAAGTGAGGCTCAGAAAAGGGAAGTGACTTTCCCAAGATTGGAGAGCTGGTGTTAGATCTGTTTAAACCTAGGTTTGCCTAACTTTTAAGGCTTGTGCTCTTTCCACTGGCCCATATTACCTCTCTCACCCTGCCACAGGCATGGCTGTCTACAGCAGTAGCAGTAGAGAAGGTTTGCTTCTGTTGAAGCAGAAACTGAGGTTTCAAGCAGAAAGATTGATGGGTGGTTCATAGGTTCATGGGATCGTGGAGCTAGAAGGGACCTCAGTTAAGCCAGCTAGGCCAACCCCCTCATCTTACAGATAAGGAAACTGAGGCACAGAGGTTTGTAGTGATTTGCCTGAGATCATATAGTTAGTGAACAACAAAGTTGAAGCTTGAGCTTGAATCTTATGAACTCCCCAGAAAGGGTTAGGATCTTTCCCAAAATTACACAGGAATTGAGGTACAGTGGGGGAAATGGAAAGGAGCTGAATTTGAAGTCAGATGCCCAGGTTTTGAAATGAAGACCTGACAATAAGCGTCAGAAGTTTTCCCTTTCTGGGCTTCAATTTCCTCCCCTGTAAAATAAAGGGGCCAGGCTAGGTGGTCTTCCAGTTGTGTGACCCTAAGCCCCTTCCCTTCTCTGGGCCTCAGTTTCCTCATCTGTTAATTGAGGGGATTGTACTAGATGGCCTATGAGGTCCATTCCAGCTCCAAGTCTGTCCCTCCTATAATTCTGTGAAAAGGGAGTCATCAAGGGAACTTTATCTCTAAGGTAAACAGATTAGGAGGAAGAGACAGGTGGGACAGTTCAAAACAATGCCAGCCAAGGCGGTGCCCACAAGCCAGTTAGACATTAGACTTAAGTAGGTCACAATGCCCCCTCTAGAAAAACATCTTTTCTTGTGAAAAAGATGCCATCCTAGCTGTGTGCTATGGAAGGCACGTCATGGTGAAGCTCCATGGGGCTGCTTGCCCAGTGCAGACAGCCTAAGGAAGGTTCCAATGTAATAGAGAATAGTAATAGAATGTAATAGAATAATACTGTGTCTACTTCAGGGATGCTGGATCGTGAAAGTCACCGCTCAGTCCCCTTCAAGACGTTCCCCGGGTGCAAGGGGAATTGTGAAACCATCCAGGGTAGGGTGTGTCTAAAGAGGCTACTTTCCTGGGCACTGGGAGCCATTTTCACCCAGGGATGATCTTGGATTAGCAGAAAGGGCCCAAGGTTCCAAGGATATCCTCAAGACATTTCTATTGGATTCTGGAGTCAAACAGGGTCCTAGCTCTAGAGATGGAAGAGACCTCAGAGGCTATCGGGTCCAACCCTTTCACTTTACAGATGAGGACACTGAGGCCCAGTAATGTTAAGACACTTTTCCCAAATCACTCTTGTAGTAAATTTATAGGGACTTGAACCCAGATTCTTTGACTTCCCAGCCCCTGATAACCTTACCATGGTTGCACATTAACCCTGCTTTTCATCCTGGCTCTGACTCCACCTTGTCGAATTGAATTTTAGATCACTTAAAAGGCCAGAGCCAAATCTTTGATCTTATGAACCTCAATATCCTCATGCTCTGGAATTCAGACAGACTGCTCAGGAGGAAGGGACCATGGTTAACCCCAGGATTGGAAGGGACCCTGGAAATCTGCTAGGCCTCATTTGATGGATGAGGAAACTGAGACCCACAGAGGGGACCTGGGAATTGGACTAGCAGTTGTACAGATTGTCAGCTCCTCTAGAATGTGCAGGAACTGTTCCATTCCTGTCTTTCTCTCCCTAAAGCCTAGAACCTTGCTGGACACATGGGAGGGGCTTGGTGAGTAAGTTATTGATTCTCCTGGAAAGCCAGTTGTAAATTACTGAGAGCTGATTGTAGTAGGTTCCTAGAGGCTTTGCCATGAGGGAATGAAGGATGAGGGATGACGGTCACTGTGCTGCTGCTCAGGAGCTTCAGAGAGCCATTCTCCCTATAGGATACTAAGATTGCTGTCGTCTAGTCTGGACCTGTTTCTAAATGACTGTAGTGATTGTGTGGGTGGGTAGGTATTTGGGGGGGGGGATATCTATCATTCCCTAGAGAATCTAGCACTCCCCACCCCCACCCCCAGCTTTCCATTGGATGGCAGCATGAAGAGGTGGAAGGAGCTGGGATCTGGCCTTGAGTTCAAGTCCTGACTTTGGACAACGCTTCTGAAGGCCCTTCGTGCCCTGACATTCTACTGCTAATCAGTGCTGGTCTCATAGCCTTCAGGGTAGGGGTCTCCCCAGTGAGGTTTAGCAAGGAGAAGTGGGAAGTTTCCCAGACATAGCAGCTTCAGCTCCTTCTCTCTGCTTCTCTCTCCCCCTTCTTCCTTCCCTTCCTCTTGTCTTCTTTCTGTCTTCTCCCTGCTTCTCCCTCTGTTTCTTCCTTCTTTGGTCTCTCTCCTCTTCCTCTTCTCCCCTTTCCTTCCTTTTCCACCCCACCCTGCCTTTCTGTCATCTCCCTCTCCCTCAAATCTTTCTTGTCTCTCTGTCTGCCTCTGTCTCTGTCTCTCTTTCTCTGTCTCTCTCTCCTCTCTTCTCTCTTAGCTTGAAGGGACCTTAGATGGTTAGAACTGAAATGGACCTTAAAACAAGGAATATTTCCCCCCCCCTTCCTCCTCTCTGTCTCTCTCATTTCTTCCCCTCATATCTCTGTCTCTCTTCCTTTCCCTTTTCCTCTCTCATATCTTTCTCCATTTTTCCCTTCCCTCCCTTTCCCTCCTCTCTCTCTCTCTCTCTCTCTTCTCTCTCTCTCTCTCTCTCTCTCTCTCTCTCTCTTCTTCCTTCTTTTCCCTTATCTCCAACTCTCTCTACCTTCTGGGTTTCTTTCATCTTATTCCCTTCCCCCCTTCTATTTTCTCCTTCTTTTGTCTCTCTCACTTATCACTTCTCATTCATTCTTTCCTTTCTTCCTTCCCTTCCTCCCTTCCTTCTTTCCTTCCTTCCTTTCTTCCTACTTTCCTCTCTGCCTGTCTCTCTCCCCTATGTCATCCCTGTTTCTCTCATCTCTGTCATTCTGTCTTTTTCTCTCTGTCATGATTGCTTGTTAAGTGACATCTCTCTTCTCACATTTTCTTCCTTTGTATTTGTTATCTCTCCTTTCATTTTCTCTCTCCTTTCTTATTCTCTCCTTCTCATCCTATGTCATTGTCTATTTCTCTTAAATTTATTCTTTCACCTTTTCTAGTTTTTCTCTACCTCTTTCCTTTTACCTTTTTATCTTTCCCTCATCTAATTTCTTTCCCCTTCTATTTATCTTTTCTCTCCTTTCCCTCTTTACCAGTCCTCCCTCATTCCCTCTTATTCCGTCTTGTCTATTGTTGCTTTCATAATTCTTGATCTTTGCTGAGCATTAAGGGACAGGAGTTGTGGGGTGGGAGTGCTGGTGGATTGTTTTCAGGGGTCTGGGAGTCCCCACCCAGGGAAGCATCCACCTCTAATCGCCTCAGGTCCTCTCTTTCCCTTCATCCACCAGCCCCCAATCCCAGACCTGAGGTTGAGACATTGGCCAATCTTTGTTGTTCCTAAGTAGCAGAGACCCTCTCCAGCTCCAGGAGACCTCGAAATAGAGATGCCTACCCTCTGAGATGGAGCAGGTACAAAGCCTGGCTAGTGGTTAAGTCATCAACTGTCAGAAAACCTACCAGTCCCTACTGGAGATAAAAAGGCAAAAATGAGGCAGTTCCTGACCTTGAGAAACTAATATTCTATCGAGGGGATACAACATATTAGCTGATAACAATAAGTAGAGAATTGTACAAAATAAAAACAAGGATTTCTTTATGCGGGGGGGTCAAGAAAGAGCTTATAATTGGGGAAAGCACAAAAGACCTCTGAAATGAGGTACTCAAGGAAGTTCTCAGGCTCGAAAGAAATGTTTCATGCCAGCCTGGACAAAGGCTTGAGATGGGAAATGGAGTGTGACTGTCAAAGTGTGGTGGGAAGAGTACTGGATTTGTTTTCCTAGGATGTGGGTTTATAGGGTCATAGGGTCTTGGTATATAGAATGAACTTATCTAGTCCAATCCCCTTATTTGTCAGAAGAGAAACTGAGGCCAAGAGGGAGGAAGTGATTCAGCCAATGTCATCCAGCTAGAGAAGCAGAAAAGGCAAGAATCAAACCCTGACCTTTGGCCCCTAATTCCAGAGGGTCAGGGTGAGGTGGAAATAGAATGTCTCCTCTTAGGGACAGTGGATGAACCTTTGGGCGCCTGGAGAAGGCAGACTGTGACTCCTGAGCAGGGCTTTATCAACAAAGATGTCCTCTTTCCCTGCTCCCTCCACCCTAAAGGAAGGTTAGCATCAGCCCCAGACCTGCTTGGCAGGACTAGTGGTAGGGCAAGACAGACTGCTGCCCCTAACATCAGGCTGCCAAAAAAGTCTGGGGTCAGGAGTCCATTTAATTAAACTATGGGTCTGCTTGGGCCAGGGGGAGCTCTGGGGGAGGGGGATGGGCAGAATGGCAAGGATTTGATTTCAACCACTTCGAATTTCTGCCCTGACTTCCAGCCCTACCTCCTATGCCTACTCCTCCAGGAAGCCTGCCCTACTTGTCTGTAAGAAGGGCTCTTCGTTTCGGCAGACTTGACATAGCAGTAAGATGCAAAGTTTATCTTGCTTCATCTTTATAAATCTCCTAGTGCGGAGCAGGGTATTCTGCACCCAGGAGGCACCCCACACACGCCTGTTTGATGAAAGCAGTCACCACAGCTCCAAAGCCATGAGTCCAACCCCCTTATTTTACAAACAAGGAAACTGAGGCCCACAAAGGGTAAGGGACTTGCGGGTGGCCACACAGCCAGTAAGCCTGAGGGGCAGGATTTGAACCCAGTTCCTCTGATTCCAAGTCCACTGCTCTTTTCACTGTACCCCAATAAATGAATGATCAATACAGCAAATATTTATTGAAGACCTACAATGAATAACAATAACACTTGCCGGCATTTATAGAAGCCTTTGAGGTTTACAAAATCACTTTACAGATGATCTCATTTGATTCTGTCAAGAACTCTGTGAAATAGGAGCTGTTAATCATCCCCATTTTACAGATGAGGAAATTGAGGTAGAGAAAGCTGGAGGCACTCCCCCAGGCTCACCCAGGTAACAAGCTCTGAGGAGAATCGTCCTCTGACAATCATTCCAGCGCTTTTTTTTACCATGAATGAATGAATGAAAGATTCCAGGCTTTCTGTGAGATGCCAGTGAAATAATGTAAGTAAATCACTCTGCAGGTTTTCCAGTACTATAGAAATGCCAGCTATTATTATAATTCTATGCTAATATTCTAGTGGGACAGAAAGGAGGAGACGTATTTCTATCTAATAATGAGACAAGGAGGGATTCAACACGTCCCATCTACATGTACATGAACCAGAGTACCATACAAGAGCATAGGGCAGAAGAGATGCTTCTGACTTGGGGCACCAAGGCAATCAGGGAAGGCTTCCTGAAAGAAGTGACCATTTGAGCTAGGCCTTGAAGGTTCAGGAGGATGGGTGTGGGAGAGGGCTGGAAGAGGGAGCTGAAGAAGCAATGAGGCAAAACATTTCAGAAAAATGTATTGATAGGAGCTCAAGTTGTGTGTGTATCGGTTTGGCTATGGGAGATAAGTCTAAAAGGTAAATTCAGAAGAAAGCATGGAAGGCCTTGAATGCCAGGATTAGGTGTCTAGATCTGCTCTGATAGGGAATCGGAAGCCCCTGGAAGGTCTGTTTTCTGTTTCTGGCTCTGAGCTCATAGGTATTGATGATGATGGTGGTGGTGATGATTATAGCTTTCATTTACATAATGCTTTAAGGCTTGCAAAAATAAATAAAATAAAATAAAATTTAAAAAAGATTTGTAAAACATTTTACGTATTATCCCATTTGGTCCGCACAATAAACCTGGGAAGTAGATATTATTATTATGCCCATTTTATGGATGAAGAAACTGAGGTAGACTGAGGTTAAGTGACTTGCCCGAGGTCACAGTACTAAGTAACTGTCTGTGGCTGGATTTGAACTCAGGTCTTTCTGACTCCAAGTCCAGAGCTCTCTCCACTGTGGCACCCCCAGCTGCCTATCTTGTTTTTAAAGACCTCTAGCAAAGATGTTTTCCCAGCTGGGCTCTCATGCCCGTTCCAGTATTTAATAGCCCCTGGGGAAATTTCTTCTTCCTCTCTACCCTTAGCCTTCCTGGCCAGAGGATGAATGTGGATCTTATTTTCCCTTATGCTCCCTTATATTCCGTGGCATCTTGCAGGAGGACAAATCTGAGCAGGACAAATCTAAGAAGTCCAGCCCTGAGAAAAGAGGCTTGGGGAGGGGAGGGCAGTGCCTGGGGCTCTGAGGGGTTTAACAACACAGAGGAAGTAAGGGAAACTGAGGATGATGCCAAGCCTTGCACTTAAAACCAAACCTTCCCCACTGGGAGAGAGGGTTATTTCCTGCCCCATCAAACTCCACACTCCATGAAATAAAGAGAACAGAGAAGGCCCAGAGATGGTGGTCACCCTAAAAACCTCCTTATGGGATTCTGTTTATCCAATAAACCCGCCCTTGTCCTTTGTCTATGCCCTGAACCAGCCCCCTCTCTCCATGTCTTAGGATCATAGAACCAGAGAATGTTAGAGCTGGAATGTGGAATGTTAGGGCTGGGAAGGAACTTAGTACAGAGGATGTCATGAAATATCAGAGCTGGGAGGGACCTTAGAACAGGGAATGTCAGAGCTGGGAGGGGCCTTAGAACAGGGAATGCCAGAGCTGGGAGGGGCCTTAGAATAGGGGATGTCAGAGCTGTGAGGGGCCTTAGAATAGGGGATGTCAGGGCTAGGAGGTCCCTTAGAATATGAAATATCGAGCTGAGAGGGAGCTTAGAACAGGGAATGTCAGAGCTAGGAGGGCCTTAGAACATGGAATATTCAAGCTGAAAAGGAGAAAAATCACAAAAACCAAAGGGCTAGAATGAGCCTTAAACATCACCCAGTCCAATTCCTTACCTGGACAGGCGTTCTCTTGACAATCTTCTCAATAAAACGATCATTGAAAGTCAGAGCTGGAAGAGGCCTCCAAGAGCATCTGTCTCGCCTCTAGACTTTGGGCCTCTTAACTGTGATTCTCACACTCTTTTCTTCCCTCCCTCCCCACCAGCCCCAAGCGATGATGAAGACGACGTCCAGTGGGAACTGCGCGCTCAGCGTGCCTGCCAAGAATTCCTACCGCATGGTGGTCTTAGGAGCCTCCCGGGTGGGCAAGAGCTCTATCGTCTCCCGGTTCCTCAATGGCCGCTTTGAAGACCAGTACACCCCCACCATCGAGGACTTTCACCGAAAGGTCTATAACATCCGAGGGGACATGTATCAACTGGACATCTTGGACACATCAGGCAATCACCCCTTCCCAGCCATGAGGAGGCTGTCCATCCTCACAGGTGAGGGCCTGGAAGGGAGGAGGCAAAGGGTGGCTGACAGTTCCATGCCTTGGGGGGGGGGGGTCACCAAGGCAAGTTACTTTCCCTCTCAGCCTCAGTTTCCTCCTCTATAACATGTAAGGAGTGATCTCTAAGGCTCTTTACAGTTCTAGCACCCTATGATCGTAAGAACACAGGCCTCCTTGGCCATCCACCTAATGGTGGAGCTTCAGGCTTTGTAGGAATAAGAAACAAAAGAGACCTCAGAGTTCATCTTGTCCAACTCCATTTTTTCAGATGGGGAAACTGAGGTGGTGGGGGACAATGGGAGGAGGGATTCACTTGCCTAAGGTGACTCTGTTGTTAATTAGCAGAACCAAGATTCAAACCCTATTCCTTTGACAATGATCTTGCCTTCTGCCTGGGATAGTCAAGGAAGGCTCCTTGGACTTGAGCTGGACGTCTAAGGCTAAGGAGGACCTGGATAAGGAAGGCAGTGAGAGACAATCTAAGCAGAAGGAGAGAGGCAGAAAAACATAAGGCATACCAAGCAGTCAGTGAACAAGCATTTATTAGGCATCTACTATATTCCAGACACTTTGCTGAGCATTGGGGATTCAGAAAGAGGCAAAATACACGAAAAACATCTTAGAATCCTAAATTCTCCAGGCAGTCTGGGACCAATCCCTTTCAATGATTCAATCAATAAAGAAGCTCCTCTGTGCCAGGCACCGTTCCCAGCGCTGGTGATACAAAGACAAAACCTCAAGGAGCTTCTGCTCTGCTAAGCACTGGCTCCAATGATTTGGCTCAAAAATCCCTCCATAGGGGCAGCTAGGTGGCACAGTGGATAGAGCACCGGCCCTGAAGTCAGGAGGGCCTGAGTTCAAATCTGGCCTCAGACCAAACACTTGACACTTACTAGCTGTGTGACCCTGGGCAAGTCACTTAACCCCAATTGCCTAAAAGCCAAAAAAAAAAAATTAAAACAAACAAACAAACAAAAATCCCTCCATGGCTGCCCATCTTGGGTAACTTTGGTCAATCAATGAAAAGACATTTATTAAGCACTTATCATATGCCAGGCACTGTGCTGAGCCCTTCCTTCATGTCCACCATCTCATTTGAACTTAGTTGTAGGAGAAGCAGAACAGGAATAATATTCCTATTGTAAAGGCCCAGAGAGGATGACAAACTTGTCCAAGGTCACACAGCTAGGAGCGTGGGAGTGGACCCCAAGTCTCTAGATCCTTTATGTTGTGCTCCTGGTGATGAGGGACCCTGAGTAAGGTGAATCAGGACAAATATATAACCTCAATTCATTGGAAAAACAGCTCAGAGAGCCGGCTTGGAGGCAAGTCAGCGCTGGTGGTTCTGTATGCAGAGGAGAGTTCAGTGACTGATGGGTGCTTGCCGGAGGGGCGCAGCAGCCCGCAGAATATGCCCCATTAGTATTGCATGACATGAAGAGGGAGGGAGTGCACCGGGAGTGCTTTCCCTGACACTCTAATCCTTCAGGGGTTCAGACCCAAACACATCCAATTTAATAAATGAAACATTCATTTCTATTTAGTGCAGGTGTGGGGGGGGGAGGGGGGAGACAGAGTCCTTTCCTGTAGTTCTCTGGTGCTCAGCTAAGAGTCTGGAAATCAGAGGGTTCTCATCCTGGCTTGGCCACCTGACTGCTCCTGGACAAGTCATTGACACTGCTCTCAGCCTCAATTTCTTCCTCTTACAAAATGCAAGAGGCCTGAGTCTCTCCAGCTCTGAGTCCTGGGAGCTAAGAGCTCATAGGAACGTCATTCTGGAGCTGAATCTTGATGGGGTTTAAGCATTCTGAGAAGCCCGTGCTAGGAAGGAGTATACTATACTATTTGGGATATCTCAGCAAAGGGAAAACAGGATGGACCCTGAACACTTTGGCAAAGGGACCCATGGAAGTGTGATGTGGCCCAGAGCCAGTGAAGGAGGAAGCAGGGAAAAAGACAGAAGCATTCCTCTTCCCCTAAGATATGGTGAATCCAGGTGCCCATTCTGAGACCCAGGCTTTGCCCTCTCCCCGTGGGCCAGCATTGAGTAGGGATTCAGGGAGGAAGGAAGGGGGGTTGCCTTGTCCTATTGCTGGGGATCTGCTAAGGCCCTAGTATGTACAAGAAGCCCCTCACCCCACAGCATCTCCCCCATTGCCCCTGGACTGTCTAATCCCTTCCATCTGACAGGCTTTCAAGTACAGGAATATACTTACTATGTGCCTGAGTTTTCCCTTCTCCAGGCTCATTCCAGATTCCTTTATCAAGCCACATAAGGCAAGATCTTGAGATCCTTCACTATCCTGACTCTCCTCCTGACAGCTTTCCAACACCCTTCCTGGAGGGAGCTAGGTGTCACCACGGTGCACGAAGCTGCGGATCTGGAGTCAAGAAGACCTGAGTTCAGATCCAGCTTCAGACACTGACTACCTGTGTGACCCTGAGCAACTCACATAATCTCTGTTTGCCTCAGTTTCCTCAACTGCAAAAAGCGAATAATACTAGCACCTACCACTCAGGGTTGTTGTAAAGATCAAATGAGATAATATTGTAAAAAGAAGTAGCACATAGTGACCCTATGCTCTAACCCTACCTACTACTACAAAGTAAGTGCTTAATGAATAGTTCTTTCTTCCCTAAATTCTGGTGCCTGATATTCAACACCAAACCCCAAATATGGTCTGACTAGGGCCAACAGACTCAAACCTCCATAGTTCCTGGGCATTATGCTTCTCAAAATGTGGCTGGTGCCTTCTACCGTTGAGGCCACTAAAGCCTCCAGAATTCTGTCCTTTCATGCTTCTCACAGCTTGTTCTGATTTTTTGGAACCCAGGAGGAACACTTGACATTAATCCCTATTACATTTCACCCCAATGCTGGAGCTTGTCATGGGCTGGGGGGATCCTGACTTATCATCGAAGGTATAAGTTTTTCCTGCTAGCTTTGTGTCCTTTGAAGAGCAGCAGGGCAATTCCTTTGTTCAAGTCATTGATATAAAAATGTTAAATCATAGGGGGCCAAGAACAGGGCCCTGGGGCACTTCACTGGAGACCTCCTTCCAAGATGTTACGGAACCACAAACAAGGATTCTTTGAGACTAGCCATTTAACCAGTTCCAAATCCAGCTAATTGTACTAGTGATTCTCAAACTTTGTGGTCTCAAAGCCCCTTTATACTCTTAAAATGATTGAGGACCCCTCTCCATAACTGAAGCCCCATCTCAAAGAGCTTTTGTTTTAGTGGGTCATATCTATCAACACCTACCATATCAGAAATTTTTGCTCTTGGTTGTTGAGTCATTTCAGTCATCTCTGACTCTTCCTGACCCCGTTTGGGGTTTTCTTAGCAAAGATACTGGAGTAGTTTGTCATTTCCTTTTCCAGCTCATTTTACAGATAAGGAAACTGAGGCAAATAGGGTTAAGTGACTTGCCCAGGGTCACACAGCTGGTAAGTGTCTGAGGCTGGAGTTGAACTCAGGAAGATGAGTTTCCCTGACTCTAGGCTACTGTGTCACCTCAATGTCCCTAATTAAAACATCTTAGTTTTACTAGGAAAATAGTTTGACCTTGCAGACCCCCTTAGGGACCCCTGGAGGCCCTCAGACTACACTTTGAGAACTACTGACCTGGACCATGTGGGATAAACAGAATTCATAGATTTACTTACAGCTGGAAGGCACATCAGGGGCCATCCAGTCCAACCTTGTTGTTTTACAGATGGGGAAGTTGAGGCCAGGATATCATGGGACTAAAACATCTTAGAACCAGAGCTGGAAGGGACCTCAGAAGCTTTCTAGTCCAACCTTGTTATTTACAGAGGAGGAAACTGAGGGCCCAAGATCATACAGGGAGTAAAATGGCAAAGCAGGTATTAACTCAGCTTTCCTGACTCCAAATTCAGCACTATTTCTTTCAGTTCTCTGTCTTTCCCACAAGAAGAGCCAAAGAGATACTTTGACAAATATTTTGCTACAATTTAAGCACAGCAGTCTCTTGATCTAACCACTTCGTAACACTAGCACGGCATGCTCTGCTCCCTTTGGAATAAGCCTGAGAATAGAGAAGCCCCTGGCATCATTGCAGGGCTATCTTCAAGTGAAGGCTTGTCTGAGACATCCTAGTATAGTAGAAAGAGCTGATGGACCGGGGTTCACATCCCAAGCTCCGCCATTTTCTACCTTCCACAAGCGCTTGGACTTTTCCGAGCCCATGATTTCCTCCATCTGCATGTTTGCATGGGCAGTCCCTCATGCCTACCGTACCCTCCTTCCTTGAGTTTAACCTCCCAGAAGACGGCAAAACACGGGCCCCAGAATGATCACCTGATTCACCCCACCTTAGGGACTGCTTTGTGTCTTTTTCCATCATCCCCTTAACCAAAGGATTTGTGTGTGACACAGCAGTGCGTGTGGAATCTGAGGGGGCTGGAAAACTGGTTTTGCCACTTATGAGCTGTTCACCCCTGGGCTAGATCTTACCCGCTTTGGGCCTCAGTTTCCTCATCTGTAAAATGCAATGGCCTTGAAGGACCCTTCCAGCTCTGACTTTCTCTGAGCTTTCTCTATTAGGGGAAACGGCTTCAGAACAACAGCTGGAGGGGAAAAAAAGGGAAGGACTGGAGAGCCAAAGTGCCTCTAAAGCAATTCAGCATTCAACACCACACCTAGCACACCACTGGTTCGCAGGAAATGCTAAAAGAAATCAATTCAATAGCATTGTTCTCCCCAGCTGTGAGGCAGGGCCCCGTTTTGGAAGGTGAAAACATGGTGACAGGCAGTAGAATCCTTCGGGGTGTAGGATTATCACAACGGGACATGGCCTGGCAGCCAGTGTGGAAAATACTGCCAGGCTGACATTGCCCACAACTCCTCTGAGAAAAAGCCATGGTAACCGCAGTAAAACTGGGGAATTATTAACAATAACAATGGCTTTTTATAGCACTTTCTTCCCTATCAATCTTCAGAGGAAGGTGTTGAAAGTTTTATTATCCCCATTTTATGGATGAGAAAACTGAGACTCACCCACAAGATCAGAGACTTAGAGCACAAAGGGATCTTAGAGGCCAGTTCCCTCATTTTACAGGTAAACCCACTGCACAGACTTCGTAAATATACCCAAGGTGGAGGTGGGCAGGCAGATGAGGAAACTGGGTATTCAGGACTTAGATCCCATCCTGCCAAACTTCCTCATTTTACAGATGAAGAAACTGAGGACCTGAAGAGACTTTCACACAGCTAGTAAATGTCTGAGACAGGATTTGAACCCAGGGCCTAGAGTCAGGAAGACCTAAATTAAAATCTCAGCTCCGAGATTTACTAGCTGTGTGACTCTGGGTGAGTCTCTTAACCTCTGACTGCCTCAGTTTCCTGAATAAAGGTACCTCCTATGGCTGTCAGGAAGATCAAGTGAGATAATGTTTATAAAGTGCTTAGCACATAATAGGCACTTAATAAATCCTATTTCCTTCCTTCCCCCTTTTTCTTCCTCCCTTCCCTGCTTCTCTTCCTCACTTCCTTTCCTTCCTTTCTTCCTCCCTCCTTTTCTTCCTTCCTCCTCCTTCTCTTCCCCTCCCTCCCCCTCTTCCCTTCCCTCTCTCTCCTTCCTCCCTTCCTTTCTTCCTCCCTCCTTTTCTTCCTTCCTCCCTTCCCTCCTTCTCTTTCCTTCCCTCTTTCTCTCCTTCCTTCCTTCCTTCCTTCCTTCCTTCCTTCCTTCCTCCTCACTCCCTCCTCCCTCACTCTCCTCCTTGCTTCTCCTGACTCTCCTTCCCCCCCTTCTTTCCATTGAGCATCCCATCCACCACAAGCTGATTCGGAGAAATAAAGCACATTGGCCCAGACCACACATTCAATAAATGGTGGAGGCAAGGTTCAAATGTAGGTCCGATGCCATTTGGCCTGATCCCGCCATCCGCTTAAGCCAGCTTTCCTCTCCAATCTCTCCTACAGGAGACGTCTTCATCCTCGTGTTCAGCCTGGATAACCGAGAGTCCTTTGATGAAGTCAAACGTCTCCAGAAGCAGATCCTTGAGGTCAAATCCTGCCTAAAGAACAAGACCAAGGAGACAGCTGACCTGCCCATGGTGATTTGTGGCAACAAGAACGACCACGGAGAGCTCTACCGCCAGGTGCCCACCAACGAGGCGGAGCTCCTCGTCTCGGGGGATGAGAACTGTGCCTACTTCGAGGTGTCGGCCAAGAAGAACACCAATGTGGATGAGATGTTCTACGTGCTCTTCAGCATGGCCAAGCTCCCGCACGAGATGAGCCCGGCCTTGCACCGTAAGATCTCTGTCCAGTATGGAGACGCCTTCCACCAGAAATCCTTCTGCATGCGCAGGGTAAAGGAGATGGATGCCTATGGGATGATCTCCCCGTTTGCCCGCCGGCCCAGCGTCAACAGTGACCTCAAATACATCAAGTCCAAAGTCTTGCGGGAGGGCCAAGCCCGAGAGAGGGAGAAATGCACCATTCAGTAAGAAGAGAGGTGTGAGGAGGGCAGCCCACCTAAGCAGTGCCTTAAGGGAGATGGCTCTGGAGAATGCCCCCAGCCATGCCTGGGGGAAGGGAGGGGACTGGGCAGCCATACTGCCCTCTCTCCCCTTGCAATGGGGAGCCCAACTGCACTGGTCACAAGAGCAGCAGCCCCCTGGGCTCTGTAAATATTTCTGGGTCTTCTCTGCCACCTCCACCCTCCCCTCTGATTCTCCCTTTCTCTTATTGGGATAACTGACTCCCTTCACTTGGTAGGAGAATACCTCTCTGCCAAGGAGGAAACAGATGGGAGATCCCAGTTGGCGTGAATGTGAATGGGAGCTTTCATATTTGGGAGGACAGTTTATCACACAGAATTCAGAAGGGGCAGGAGGCAGAATCTCCAGGCCTTTCTCCAGAACTCAGTCCAACTGAGCCTCTGAACTGACCTTATGGGTCACTGTCTCTTGGGTGAGGGCTGGACAGAGCATTGGGCCTGGGGGCATTTGGGCCACCGAGGTTGAAGTCTTCTGCTTTGGAGAGGGGTGCTCTGAGCAGGAGGGAGGTGAGACCTGTCTCAACTGCTGGGACACCCCCACCAGGAATTTGTGACCTTATTTTCTGCTGTTGGTTTTTTTTTCTTTCCTGCCGATTCCCTCTCCCCATCCTCCAACCAAAGTAGTGGTGTTTGTCTGTTTGATATGAAGTGTGTTTGACGTACCAAGAATATTTATCTTCTGAAGCTCCTTGTTTTATCATTTGTCCTTTTTCTTATGGCTGTTGTCCCTCGAGTGCGGACAGAAATGGACACCAAAACCATTGAACCATCCTAAGGAGGCCTGTACCACCATCCTTAGCCATCTGCCACCTGTTCCCTTGGGGGAACAGGGAATGCTTTTCCCAACAGCCCACACTTACCACCTGCCTTCTCCAGACATAAGGCCCCTGCTCCTGTGCCCCCTCTCCCAGGTCTTTGCAGAAGCAGAGAAGTCTGACAGCCCAAGTCCAGCTCCATTCCCAACTTCTCCCAGTGGCAGTGATCTTGGGCAGTCTTCCTCTGCTCTCACAGCCTCATTTTAACCCATCTGATTAGTAAAAGGGGTTCCTTTCCTCTTCATACACAGATTTGGGGAGATTTCTGAGCAGAGTCTTGATCTTAAGCTAGGGCTCTAGTCTAGTGGAAAAGGCAGGGGATTTGGAATCAGATGAACTTTAGCTGAAATCCAGCTCTGCCACTTATTGATCTACATGACCTAGGGCTGGTCATTTTCACTCTCTGGACCTCAGTTTCCTCATCTGTAAGATTATGGTATTAGATTGGTTGGCCTCTGAGGTCCTTTCCATCCAGGATTAAAAAATAATAATAACAACTGCTCGTCCTGTAGTAATTTAATGTTGGCAAAGTGCTTTGCTTTCCTCGTAACTATCCAGTGAGAAGTAGAAGGGTGGGAAATAAACACTATTATCCATTTTGTAGATGAAAAAGCTGAGGCTCAGAGTGGGCACACACTCGACTGGGGTCAAATGGCAAAGCAGAAAATTGAATCTAGGTCTTTTGACCACAACCCTGGGGGCTCTTTCCAGAGCACCATCCCAAGAACCTGCATCTTGTCACAATGGGAGTGGCCCATGGTATCCCAATGTGGACACAAGGGATGGGATTGACTGTGGCATAGGGAGGTGCTTTATAATTGGATGTGATTATATTCTATAAACACTTCAAGCTCCATAAATCATGGACTTAGAGAATTAGTGGAAGAGACCTTAGGGATCTTCTAGGCCAACCCTTCCATTTTACAGATGGGGAAATTGAGGCTGGCAAAATACTTCTTGTTTCTCCAGCATTTTAATATTTAAAAAGCACTTTCCTGGTGACAACTCAGTAAGGCTGTGCAAGTATTTTTTTTTTCAGTCTTCATTTTACAGATGAGAAAACTGACACTCAGCGAAGTTAGGTGAGTTATCCACAATCACAAAGCTAGGATGTGTCAGAGCAAAGATTTGAACCTAGGTGCTCTAAGTCAAGATTCTAATTCAGGTTCTCTAACTCCATGGCACAGACGAAAGGGAACTGGATTTGGAATCAGTGGACTTGGTTTCAAATCCTAACTCAACATTTTATAAACCTATGTGAGCTTGGAATCTGGGTCTGTTTCCCCAAATGTAAAATGAGGGGTTGGACTAGATGACCTTTAAATCTATGGTGTTAAATCTATGACTCAAAAAACAGTGTTTTTTCCATTTCCCTGTGATTTCTGCCTAAGCCTGGAGATCTGGGGGATGAGAGGGGCTGGGGAGTGAGTGACTACCCCAAGATCACATGATTATCACTGGCAAAGACAGGTTTAGAACCAAGCATTGCACCTCATGCCGCCCAGCCAGCTCTTCTTCAGCCCAGCACCCACCTGCCAAATCTAGGTGCTTTCCTAGGCAGTGAGGGAGAGAAGTGGGAGGTAAGCGTTATTATTCCCATTTTGCAGATGAGAAAACTGGACCTCAGAGAAAGCCAAGAGACTTAACCGGGATCACACCACCAGTAAATTGCAAAGTGGAGATTTGAACCCAGGTCTTCTGGCCACAAGCCTTCGGGCTCTTTCTCGAACACCATCTCAAGAACCTGCATCATGTCATGAGAGGACTATGGACTTAGAACTGGAAGAGACCCCTGAGGTCAAGTCCATTTTATAGATGAGAAAACTGAGCCCCAGGGAAGTTAAGTGATCTGCCCAAGTCACATAGAAGCATCAGACATAGGATTGGAACCCATCTCTTCTGACTCCAGAATACTCGGGTTCATAGGATTTCAAGCTAAAAAGGACTTTAGAGAGTAGATTGTGTATTAGCCCTGTTTTGCAGGTGAGGAAACTGAGGCACGGAGAGTTTAAGTGACTTGACCAAAGTCACAAAGATAAGAAGTAGTGGAACCAGATCTTCTGATTCCAAATTGAAAGCTCTTTTCAATCAATACACAAGGCTTCCCCCCATCCAAGTACTGGTTGCCTCTGTAAACAGTCTGTAAAGATAATGAATCTTCTTCATATGCATATATATGTGGATATGTATATACATGATGTATGCACACATTCAAATGGAGAGGTCCATGCACACTTCAACCCCATCCCTATGTACATTCCATTCACATTCGGGACTTCATCCCCTGCTCCTGGGCATCTACCTGATGTGGGCCGGTGAGTTCTCTGACACAGAAATGCTCTCTCCATCGTGACTTAACAAGGATCCACCTTCCATCCCTGCTCCCCAGCCCTTTTGGGTTGGAGGGAAACAGGATGGGAGCAGTTCCACTCCTTTCCCCAGCCTCCTTCTTCTCATTCAGTCCTGGATGGTGGGGGCACATGGCCCAGCCAGGAGCAGGCCTGGGGGCTGACTTTAGAAGTCACCAGCTGAGAGCTGAGAGGGGACCCCTGGGGCCATCTAGGCTGATGCTCCTTATCCAAAGGAGGTAAGTGAGATCCAGAGGGGATGAGCACTCAGGGTCACACAGGAGGCGAGCGGTGACTCAGGATGTGACTCCAAGTCCAGCGAGTTCTTCCGGCTACCACCGGGGAGCAGAGCCACAATCTGGCTAAGTCCCTGTGTGACTGTCTTTCAGAGACTTTGCGTCTCTCCTATAACAAGATAAATGCTTACCTGCCCTGGAGTACAGAATTTCCATGCAATTTTAACAATAATAATAATAATAATACCAGCTGTTCCTACAGCTATGTCAGCTGGGCAAATCTATTTCCTTGGAAAAATTCTGTGAGGTAAGCAGGGTGAGTATTATATGCCCATTTTACAGATGAAGAAACAGAGTCTCACAGAGGTACAGGAACTTGCCCCCATGCGCAGCCAGGAGGAACTGGACCTGGATTTGAACCCAGGGACCAACTGCAGGTCCAGGGCTCCGTCCACAACACTGTCCTGTCTCTAGGGCACGTATGAAAAAGTGTCCCCGCTTGCACCCCACCCCACTGCCCACTTTGTCCCAAGGAAGCCACTCGGGGTTTCTCAGGTGCCCCTTCCCCCACCTCTCCAACTCCCCCAATGTAAATATGTATGTACTATGGATAATTAAAGCTGACTTATCTATAAAACTCTCCCTCACCTTATATTTCCTCTCACCAAGGCAAGACTTCCCATTGGGATCTCAAACACAATACAGGTCAAGGAGGCTGGGAAGATATAGTTAATGATAAAAATAACACTATTAAGAATATTAATATTGTTAAAAGTAATATTATTGGGAATATTCTTAATGGATTTTAATGTTATTAATGATTAAGGTTGTTCTTAATTGTTATTAATGTTATTCATTAGTATTAAGAATGTTATTAATATTTATAGCTCTTGTTAATATTCTTAATACTAAAGACCTTTCCCAGATTAGGTCTTAATCACCAATAGCCTGGGAATGGGGTCATCCAGAGCTGGAGGGGACCTCAGAGGGCATCGAGTTTCACCCTGTCATTTTACAAATGGGGAAACTGAGGCCCAGGGAAGTAAAGAGATTTGTCTGAGGTCCCATGGTCATAAGTGTTAGAAGATTGCTCCTCTGACCCCAGCACCTGTGCCCCCTCCACCATTCCACTGTCCCCTCCCTACGTGTCTCCTCCTCACTTCCCACTGGTGATGCTCCTTTCTATGGCTTTGTCATTGTGTCTCTCAGTGCTTAAGCAGATCAGACATCGGGACCCCAAGGCTGAGTCTTTGGCTGTCAGCCTCTTAGGCTGGCCATGGCCAGAGGGGACACTGAGCTAATTCTTTGCCTTATGTGTGAGATAATGTGGTGTAATATGTCACGGCCTGTGTGTACCACCACCTTAGACTGTCAGCCCCTTGAGGGTAGGGAACCAGTCTGCCTATGTGCTCTGTATAGTGCCTAGCCCTGTTGTGAGGCGCTCAATAAATAGTGGACTGCAAGATTGTTTTCTTTGTCTTTGAAATAGGAAGTAGCAGATTTGGGTTGGAGGTCCAGATGCATTGTTTGGGGTAGGAACGGGCACACAGAGTGGAGCTCCTCTAACAGTGAAAAATCTTGGTGGCTAAGAAAAACAACAGCTATACACCAAGCCTGGTTCCATGCATATTGGATGGGGTATTGGCTTGAACTCAGAAAGTCCCAAGTTCAAATCCCATCTCAGACACTTACTAACTATGTAGCCTGGGACAAATCACTTCATCTCAGTCTGCCTTAGTTTTCTCATCTGTAAAACGGGAATCATAATAGCACCTACCTCTCTGGGTTGCTGTGAGGACCAAATGAGGTAATATTTGTAAAGTGCTTTACAAACCTCAAAGTGTCATATAAATGCTACCTGTTGAATTATTAAATTAAGTTTTGTGAGATAAGTGGCTTAATTTCTCCAGTTTCATTCTCTAGAAAAGAAAGAAAACAGCATTAGCCCTCTCTGCCTAACCCACAGAGGTGTTTTGAGGCTAGAAGTAGACAATTCACATGTGGGTTTTACTTTAAAATGTAGGAAAAAATGTCTATGAGATCATAGCTCAAAGATTTAGAACTAGAAGGGACCTTAGACACCATCCAGTCATTTTACAGATGAGGAAACTGAAGCTTGTGGAGGTTCAGTGATCCAGGGTCATACAGCTAGTAACAGAACTGAGATCTGAACTCACATCCTCTGACTCCAAATTCAGTGCTGATATTGAAGTGAGGAAATATTTCCTATTACTGCATCACTTATGCATATATTACATATAAAATGTCGTTATTAAGAAGTTACAGAAACACTTCTTGGTATCTCCCTACCTCTGCTTCCTTTGACAGCTTTAGAATATGGAATGTCAGGGGCAGCTAGGTGGCACAGTGGATAGAGCACTGGCCCTGGGGTCAGGAGGACCTGAGTTCAAATCTGGCCTCAGACCCAACACTTGACACTTACTAGCTGTGTGACCCTGGGCAAGCCACTTAACCCCAACTGGACTAAAAACTGAAAAAAAATTCTTAAAAAAAGAATATGGAATGTCAGGACCAAGTCTGTTGGGTCTCCACAAATAGAGGACATGATGAGTGGGGAGGGGGAAATACAGATCACTGAGTAATGCACCTAGGGTTCTGTTTCCTCCTTCTGGCTCAGCTGCCTGCTTGCTGAGTGACCTTGGATCAATTATCTAACCTCTCTAGGCTCCACCTCCCTCATTAATAAAGTACAGGGGTTGGAATAGTCACTTCCATCTTTAAAAATATTAGTCAATGGGTTTATTAGGATTTGCAGTGAGAAAGAACCTTAGAGATCAGTTGGTTCAGCAGTCCTTAAACTTTTTGTTTGTCTTGGGCTGGTGAAAGCCTATGAACTCCTGCTCAGAATAATAGTTTTAAGTGAATAAAATAAACTATACAGGATTGCAATGGAAACCAAATTATACTGGAAAACTGTTATTCAAATATTTTTTAAAATATTAAAAACTAAATTAAAATCTTTAAAAAAGAAGGTCACAGACCTCAGGTTAAAAAGACTTGCTCTGGTGCAAACTCTTCATTTTGTTCTTCTGAACACAAGTCCAGAGGTCTTTCTGCTACCCCAGCGCTGCCTTGGGATGGAGGGCCAGCTAGGATCAGACTGATGACAAGGAGAAAGAATCTCAGGCTGGTGACAAGGACAGGATGAGACAGGGAGGAAAAGATCCTGTCACTGTGAATGTCAATGACTCAGGCACTTTCTAAGATGAGCAACCCTGAGTAGCCAGTGCTTTCTCTGGTCCTCTCTTATGTAACAGATCATTTTCCCAAGGGAAGGATTTCACTGTGTGTTGTTTACAATTTGGAGAGAGGAGAACAGAGCCCAGGTATTCAGCATGTCCCAGGACCTGTTCCCGCAGCCACCTTTTCATCCCAAAAGGACCCAAAAGGCAGAGAGCTTTGCCTTCCACTGGCCAGTCCCACCTCTTTGAGTGCAACAAGGTCATCTCCACATCATGCTGAGACATCCTTGATGAGGATGGTGGAATAATATAACTGTGCTATCAGGACAGATGTGAAATTAAGCAGAGCAAAGGGAAGCTGAAGTAGAAGTAACATTCACTGTGATACAGTCACATAGGCAAGGGAGAGAGGGAAATTTCCATAGGATGATGAGAATGCACAAACAAGGGGACTAAAAGGGGTTACAAAGAGAATGCATTGTTTTTGTTCTGAGTGTGTTAATGTATATTTTTTATTCTAAATAACTCTGCCTGTATGTTTATAGTAGGAAGTGGAATGGGAATGAAATTGTTTAGTATAAAAAATGATTTAAGAATAAGATAAAATAAAGTAAAAAGATGTTAGACTAGGTGATCTCTAAAATCCCTCCCAGCCCTGACATTCCCTATTCTAAGGTTCTTCCAAGCTTCGACATCCCATGTTCTAGGTTCCCTCCAAGTCCTGACATTCCATATTCTAGGTGCCCTCCCAGCTCTGACCTTCCCTGTTCTAAGGTCACTCCAAATTCTGACATGCCACATTTTAGGTTCCCTCCCAGTTCTGATACTCCGTATTTGATATTCTATCACCCACCAGAACAAAACATAGATCCAAGCTACAGGCACAGAGCTTTTCCCTCTTTCCGCCACTGAGTTTAGACATTTCTTGCCATTTGCTGATTCTTACAGAGTGGGGAAGGACTTTCTTAGGCAATATTTATTTTAACAGTATCTTATTACAGAAGAAGTGCTGAAGTCCTGTTGGGCTCATGATCACTGGTGTTCTCCCCATATCAATGATCTTGGTCCTCATCTACCAATTGGACTGGCTCAGTGTTGGTTGAAAGGGACCTGAGAGGTCAGAGGTCACAGATTTATAGTTAGAAGGGAACATAAAGGCCATGGAACGCCACCCCCTCATTGTACAAATTGGGAAACTCAGGACCAGAGGTGGGGAAGAATTTGCCCAGAATCCTGCAGGCAGGAAATGCAGAGCTGGAATCTGAAACTAGTCTCCTAGGGTTCCCCACCCCTGTCCCAAGCCCTACTCAAAGCCCATGTAGAATCCCCCAGGTACAGTATCAGCAGCAAGCGCTTTTCTAGCCCGTGTCTGAAGTGCTCCATTACTCCTCAAAATTCCTGTTTTGGACACCAAACTTAATCAATTGTTCTTTAGCTTGAGCCCCAAACTTGTTCACTTGGTATAGTGGAAAGAGCATTGGTTCTGGAGTCTGAAGACCCAGGTTCAAATCCTACCACTAACACTCAGTAGAAAATGAAGTCAATGGGAAAATGTCTGCACCCTCTCTCTATAAAGGAAAGGAGTTCATTTCTCTGCCCTCTAGCCCTCCAACTAGCTGAGAATGCTGAGGAGATATTGACTATCAAAGTTGAGTCAGTCTCCATGCTGATGAGATTTCAGGTGATGAGATGATTTCAAGTGATTATTCTGGGGAAGGCATGATATTACTGGGGCTGAAATCAAGCAAAGCAGCCGATGGGAAATGACTAGATGGTTTCGGAAGTCCCTTCTAGCTCTAAATCCACGATCCCATGAACTTCCACTTGTGGTCAAGAAAAGAAAAACACAATTTGTCATCCAAATGTTTGCATATAGCTATCATCACCACCATTCCTAGCACCAAGTTAGCTCCTCTAACAGTCCTCACAGGTTCTTGTTTCTCTCCTTCTTTTGGTCATCCTTCCCACCTTTCAGGTTGCCTCTGAAGGTCAGTCTTCATTAAAGCAGAAATCAGGTAAGATGGAGGGCTAATGAATAAAGCCGCTAGGTGGCACGGAGTCAGAAAATCTGAGTCCCAATCCAGCCTCAGATTCTTACTAGCTGTGACCTTGGGCAAGTCACTTAACTTTATCTGTTTACCTCAATTTCCTCATCTGCAAAATGGGCATAATAATAGTGCCTACCTCCCAGGATTGTTGGGAGATCAAAGGGGATAATATTTGTAAAGTGTTTTGCAAACTTTAAAGCACTATGTGAATGACAGCTATATAAATCACTTCTATTCCACCCCTGCTGAGTGGTATCAATCCTGCTAGTTTTCTGCATTTCTATGCCTTCCTTCATCCCTGCTCCAAATCACCCCCTTGTATTTGACCTTTTGGTGATGATTTTCTCCAAACTAAGGTAGTCTGATTCTCAGAAAACTGCCACATAGTGAGGGACCCCAGAAGATAGAGAAGCAACTTCAGAGGCCATCTTGTGTTACAGAGGGGGAAACTGAGGCTCAGAGAGGCAAATAAAGCGATACCCAAGTCATACAGGCAGGATCATGGATTTAGAATTTGAAACGCCTTCCAAAGCAATCTGATACAACTTCTTATTTTATTGATAAGGAAACTGACACCCAGAAAAGTTAAATGTCTTGTCAAAGATTATAGATTTGGATTGGAAGGGACCCAGAAGCCCTCTGGTCCAACCCCTTCATTTTACAAACGCGGAAACTCAGGCACAGAAACGTCCAAGAAATCTGGCCAGCCACCCAGGCAGTCACTGGCTGGTTCAGAATTTGAACCCAGGTCCACTGCCCCCAGGTGAGTCATTCTTGCCACTAATCCACGGTATCTCTTGGATCATCACTGGACCTGTATTCAAAGCCTTTCCACGTTGGCAGGACTTACCAGTGTATGCCCTGTGTAGCCTTCAAGACTGATAGAATGATGATCATCTGACCCAGCTGATTTTAATTATGAGTAAACTGAGGACAAGAGAGGTTACAGACTAGTCCAGCTTACATTCTGTGAGAGCCCAGGCATACCCCCATGGCAAAATGAGGCATCACAGAAGTTTCACATTGGAGGGAAGTTTTTCAGAACCTCATAAACAACTAGACCCAGCTATGGAGAACAGAACAGATCTGGACTCAGAGACAGGACAAGATGGAAAGAACCTCAGAGTTATCCAGCCCAGTGGTATCAAACACAAATAGAAAGAGCCTGCTGGCCACATATTGACTCAGGAAACCACAAATTGACATTGTTTATGCTGTGTTGTATTTTTATTTATTTTGTTAAACATTCCCCAATGGCATGGTTTTTCTGTCTCTGACTAGCCTAATCCCCTCATTTTAGGGATAAGGAAGCTGAGGACCAGATTGACTGAGAGAGTTTTCTGAGGTCACACAGAGACAATGACGTGGTGATCATGCTAATATTGAGAAGTCATTGGCACAGTGGATGGAGCTCATGGCATCATTG